GGCCGAAGTGATAGAAATGAGGAAAACTACCTTTAGAGTTAGGAATTGGAGAGACACTGTTCTAAGAGGTTCAAAGGGGGGCTTCATAAGGGCATTAAGAACCAAGTGAAGGTCCCATGAAGGATACCCGTGCACCACAGGAGGGTGTATGTTGGAAGCCCCTTTCAAAAATCTCCTGACTGAGGGGTGATGGGACAAAGAAGGAAGCGAATCCCATGAAAGAGCTGAGGAGAGAGCAGCTACCTGGCAACGTAAGGTATTGGGGGCTAAACCTTTCTCCAAGCCATTCTGAAGGAATCTAAGAACTTCTGCCAACTGGGCTAAGGAAGGAGAGAGACCCTCCTTGAGGCACTATTGGGAGAAAACCCTCTAGGTGGCATCATAGAGGCACCTCGTAGGTTTGCGAGACACCTGGATGGTGAGGATAACCCCCTCTGGGAGATTAGCCTCCCTTAGCCACTGCCGCTCAAGCGCCACATGGTCAGCTTGAGCCACTGGGGCTCCGGATGGATCAGGGCCCCTTGGTGCAGGGAGATGAGGTGGGGCGGGATCCTCCAAGGGGAAGCCACAGACAGGTTGACCAGGTTCGCAAACCAGGGCCTCCTTAGCCAATAGGGTGCCAGGAGAATTAGCTCCGCTCATTCCGCCAACAGCTTCCGTATGACCGCCAGAATGATGGGAAGAGGGGGGAAGGTGTAGAGGAGACCCACGGGCCACTTGCAATGAAGAGCATTGGTCCCCTCCGTTCCCTGGCAAGGAAACCTGGTGAAGAATCTGTTGACTTGGGCATTTTGAGGAGTGGAGAAGAGATCCACCTCCGGAGTTCCAAATCTGAGGGAAAGATCCCTGAATAGGGACGAAGGAATGGACCATTCTGCTTGGTCGACTAAATTCCTGCTCAGCCAGTCGGCTTGGGAATTGTCGACTCCGGAAATGTGATCTGCTGAGATCGACAGCAGGTGTTTCTCTGCCCATACCCCAAACGTTCTGCCTCCCTTATAAGTGCCTTGGATCTCATTCCCCCCGTCTGTTGACATGTGCCTTTGCGGCTATATTGTCTGTCAACACGAGAACATGGGAGCTGGTCACTGAGGCTCTGAAATGCTTGAGAGCCAGAGAGATAACTCTGAGCTCTAACCAATTTATGAGATGGGTTCTGTCTGATCTGGACCAAACCTCTTGAGCTATCTGACCCTCCATCTGGACCAAACCTCTTGAGCTATCTGACCCTCCATATGGGAGGCCCTTCCAGAGGCTGGCATTTGTGGTGATTACTAGCCTGTCTGGTTTCTTGAATTGGAGCCCCTTCCAGAAGGACGGGGAAAGCCACCAATTGAGGGACCGCCAGGCCTGTTGAGAGAGCAGGACCTTGATTGACGAGTGGCTGGTTCCTGCTCGTTAAAAGGGCAGCAGGAACCATTGGAGTGATTGGGAGTAAAGCCATGCCCATGGGACGATGCCAATACAGGAGACCATCTTCCCCAGTAGTTTGGACACCAGAGACAGTGAAACAGTTGTTGAATCTGGCTGATGATCTCTGCAAGGCTTTTCCCACAATCTGGAGACAGGAAAACTTGGCACAAAGTCGTGTCGATGACTGCTCCCAAGTGTAGCAGTTAGGTCGTGGGTGAGAGATGGCTCTTCTTGGTGTTGATGGAAAAGCCATGGCTTTCGAGTCAAGACAGGGTAATTTGTAAGTCCCGATGGGCCGAGCGGATGGAGGAGGACAGTATCAACATGTCATCCAAGCAGCATTGGATTGTCACTGGAACAGAATGGAGTGAAGCCACCAATGCTGCTAGAATCTTTGTGAAGACCCTTGGAGCCGATGAGAGGCTGAAGGGAAAGGCTCGATACTGGAAGTAGGCATTCTGGTAACAGAAACAGAGAAACTGGAGATGATGAGGCCAAATGGGGATGTGGAGGTAAGCCTCCGTGAGATCAGTGGAAGAGAGGAGGTCGCCCTTCCAAACACTCTAAGATAGAATGCAGTGTCTGCATTTTAAATCGCCTGTATTTGACAAATTTTAGGTCAAGGATGGCTCGCCACCCCCCTGAGGCTTTGGGAACAATGAAAAGACGAGAGTAAAATCCATGTCCCCGTTGTAAGGTGGGAACTGGTTGAACAGCCCTTATGTCGAGTAGGTGTTGAATGGCCAAATTCATAAGGGCTCTCTGAATTCATAAGGGTTCTCTTTATCCCGTGAAATGGGACAAATCAAAAAATTTTCTGGGGGTGACAATAGAAATTCCAATTGTAGCCCTGACCTAACAGTGTTGAACACCCAGGCATCCGTCGTTGACTCCTCCCATTTGGAGGCAAAGAAGGCTAAGCGACCTCCGATAGGTGGGGAGAATGAGGCGATAGCTTTTTTCCCCCGAGGAAAGAATTTTACGTTTATCTCTGGTCTTGATGAGATACGGCTCTAGAGCCTTGCCCAAAAGCTTGTCTCCTGTGCAGGGGACAGAGGCCAGCTTCCATTTGTGGCGTGACTCCGCCTGACAATTTCGGAGCCACAGAAGCCCTCTTGCTGCCACCGAAGATGCCATGGCCCTTGATGCAAATTTGGCAAAATTAAGAGTGGCATCAGCAGTGAGTTCCGCCTCCGCTATAATTTTTTTAAGGTCCTGATGAGACAGGCAATTGGTCCTGCAGTTGGTGCAGTCATCGTAGAGATGCCCTCGTGAAAAACAATGCAGCGGTCAAAGCCCGAACAGCCCATACAGCTGCTTGGTGGTTGCACTTAAGGGTCTGTTCAGAACACTTGTCCTCTGGTTTAAGGACATCCTCTGGCTTGGTGGGAGTGCCAGAAGAGGAGAATGATGCCTCAACTGGAGTGTCTACTAGGGCACTGCAAGGGCATTAACTAAGGATGTGCTGACATTGTAGAACCGCTTGTCCAAAGATGACGGATGAGGACCTGCCAGAGGGGAAGCGCACTGTTCCTTGACCATGTTGAGAAACAAAAGGGGAGAAGGCAAAACCTCCATGTGTACTACTGGCTTGGAGAAGAGCGAGTCTCCTTGCCCGGAGGGTTCCCCTTGTGGTTCAGGTGCTGCTTCCTCAGGTGACAGCTTGGCAGTGACCAGGGCCTTGCTAAATAGGGGTTTAAAGAGGGCTGGTTTAAAGACTAATGCAAAGGAGGGTTGATCTGGATGAGAGTCTTCTTCCTCTGAAAGATTGCGATCACAGATTTCGCCCTCTTTGCGCTCTGAACGAGAGGAGCAACTGTGTTTAGATAGGGAGGAACCTTCTTCCCCTTCATATTCCTCCCATTCTATCTGTGAAGAATGGACCCTGAGGTCTTGGGGTCTGTGGAAATCTCGTTGCGGAGGTAAGGAAGCCATAGACTGAGAAGGGAGAAGGGCCTGAACCCTTTCCAGAGGCTGAAGAATCTGTTGAAAACCTTCAGCCAATCCCTGTCTAATGGCTAAGGAAACAACAACTTGGATCTCCCTGGGCCTGTTATCAAAGGTAGTGGAGGGCCGAAGGCCAGCTGCAGTGAGTGTGAAGGTGGTTTCCGGCCTGATCTGGGAGGCCTGAACTCTGGAGGGAAGAGGCGGGGCATAGGGCCCAGAAGTTTGCTTGAAATATGGCCCAGACCTGCTGAAATCATGAGGATCTAGTTGTTCCTCAAATGCCTCAGGGGACCAGACAGGGGGGAGGGGGGTCCAAAGGCTCCATGAACAACTTCCTCTCCCCTGGGGGGGGGGGCTTCTCTGAAAACCCTGATGTTCAGCTGGCTGGGAAGCCTGTTGCAGTTGCCCTCTCATTTGTTGAATAGTCTTGTTAAATTGTCTCTCTAGAGCCGTATGTCTGCGTTTCTCTGCCCTCAATTCAGCCTGAGTTGTCTTCCTAGCGGCTAGAGCCTTAGCGCTGATTTTTGCAGCCACCTCCCTCTGAGCAGTACATTGTCTGCGTCTTTTCCTTTTAGTGGGTTGGAGGGCCTGTTCCCCTTGGGGGGGGGGGAGCTCTGCATGAGCACTGTCCTGATCCATTTTAAAATAAGCAAGGCTCAAGTGTTGAAAGAATGGATCTCAAAAGTGCTTAAGGATGGCAGAGCGTAAAACTGGGTCTTTGGAGCCCTGAAAATGGCCACCAGGCCACCTAAAATGGCCGCTCACCTCGTGTCTGAAGAGACTGCACTCAAAGATAGCCGCTGCTTGTCGATGGCTCAAAGAAGTGAATTTCGCTCCTTAGGCTATTGCAAGTCCCGAGCGATCAGATCAGCCAGAGAAGGAAGAGATCGCCTCCCATGCGATTAGATGGCTGGCTCTGTTATCAGTTTGCGGATCAGTTTTACGATCGGACAAACTGCGGCTATGAGGAAGGTCTCAGACGCTTTCCTGCTTGCCTAGCAGCGCTTGGGAAAACATTTATTCCAATGTTGCAGGAGAACGGAGCCCCGCTCTCCTGAAATTACAGCTACCCGGATCCCCGGGAGCTGATTGAAGCAAGGATAGCTTCTGTAGAAAATCGCTGAATAAAACACTAACGCTTTCAGAGACACAGCTTGTGACTTAAAGAAGCTGAGTCAAAGCTGGGGATTCTCCAGGGGGCTGGCTTTTTATATACAAGTACAGACTCAACTTAATGACGTCATAAGGAGTCTGCCCATCCTGCAGTTCTCGCTGCAGCATGGAGGAGAAGGGGCGTTGGTTCTTACCTGATACGCTTCTTTTCGTAGAGCTGCATAGAGTGTTTTAGATGCCTTTGGATTAAAATAATCTATTTCTTTTCTGGTTTCTTTGCAAAGTATGATATACCTTTTGTTATACAAACTTTACTGTCTTTACTTGTACCAAGGTGAACAGAATTAAAGTGAAAGGAATCAAGGTAGATATTTACAGAAAGTAATAACTAATTTGAAAAGAATAGAAAAACACTGGTTTATACTGCATGGCTAAAATATGTTTAATCTTCCAAGATTACAACATTTGGGCAATGATTTTTAGCTAATATCTAAATTTAAGATATAAGAATTTTACAAATAACTTACCTCAGTTGCTTTGCATAATTCTGTTCAATCTCTATCCTTTCTTTAACAAATTTTGCATATCTTTCCAGGAAATCAATGCCCCACTGCGTGTGCTTGTCTAAATTATCAAATTGATCCTGTAAAATGTGAGAGGGAAAAGAGAGAAACAGTCATTATGCCAATAGAAAAAAACCTCCAATTCAAGAAATGCTCTTTTTTCATATACTAAAAAAAAGGATAACACACGCAAAAATACCATTTTTAAAAACATAATAGAATTCAGCAAATACAATTTTTTTTAAAAAAATGATGCTATCAGAAGGACAGTACTTCTGAATCCTACTATGATCCCAACATAATCCAACTAACACTTTAAGAAATACTTGGAATCCTGACTCTAGGGATGCTGAGATTTTGGCAGTATGAAGATTGTGAGAGGAACAGCGCAGTTGTTAGAAAGCAGAAGCTCCATGTGACAGAGTGAGCTCCCATCTTCACTCCAGCTCTTGCCAATCTAGCAGTTTGAAAGCATACAAATGCAAGCAGATAAACAGGTACCACTTCGGTGGGAAGTTAACAGCATTCCATGACATCATGCTGACCACATGACCATGGAAATATCCTTAGACAGCTCTGGCCCAATGGCTTTGAAACAGAGATGAGCACTGACCGCAACAAGTAGCAGAGTAAAATCTGCAAGGGGGGGGTGGAACTCCATGGTTGTTAGACAAACTGTAAGGGCTAATGGTGGGGGCATTGTGGCATTACCTCTTGTAGTGTGCATAAAGTGATTCAGAATGTATGCTAAGACTATGTATTAGTTGTGATTAATCCAGTGATCATCTCTGCATATAAAAAGTAAGGGGGTTACTGACTGGTGAGCTATGGCAGCATTTGGAGGAATACATACATGTAAATTATTATTTTTACTGAATTTGAGAATTTTCTTATTCATTTTTGATTCTCTTCAAGCTGAATGGATACTGAATATGCAATAATAATTTTTTTCTAGTTCCATTATAGTAGGTACTCACAAATTAGCTCTTCTCCCTTTAGAGAAAATTCTGATGAACAAGATAATTTTTTAGATATTCTGAACTCAAATACAGTATACTCTTTTGTAGAAAATGTATTTTCGTGTAATTTACTTAATTAAATCTAACTTTCTATGTATAAAATGAATAGCAGAATCAAAAGGATTAACATTAATTCTGAAAGGACAGCAGTTGAACTGGCTGCTTTATTAAACCAATATTAACAATAACAATAATAGGGTACTATGCAGCAAAAATACCAACATCAAATCCATATTGTAATTTAACACAAATAAAAAAAGACATGATGAGAATTAACTATCCACAATATAAACAAATCAGATATAGTATGAAAGAAGGCCGGATGTACAGATGGCTAGTAAAATAGACAACTAGGAAAGATAGCCTGGGGGGGAAAACCCAGAAAATGTCAAAATTGTGAAATATCCCCTTTCTTGTCTCTCTGTGAGAAATAAAGAAACTAATTCAAATGCTGATGAACAGCACTTATCAGCAGTTCCTTGATGGAAATCTCTGCAAGTGGACTCTCTAATTTTGTACAATATTTATTTTGTCTACCGCTTGTACATAAGTGGCTCATAATGTTTGCTTTGATAAAATTAAAATATTGGGGATATAACAAGAAGAATTTATACACTGCTCACTTAAAGTCACATTGATAGCCTATGAATTTCAGACTAAAAAATAGCAATAAAATAAGCATAAACCCAATGAACCAATTTCTGAATGTCAAAAAATTAAAAATAGGTTGACTTCTTACAATATCAACCTTCAAAGTTATCTCACTTACATCTGTCTTTCCAAAATAAGTTCCATACAAGTTGTCTAGAATTTGTTTCTTTATTGCAAATATCAACGGTTTAAATGTATCATCCAAGAAGACTTTTTAGGAATCTTTATACTATAATACATAAAAGAATCAAAACACAACCTAAAAACCTATAACTAAGCCTCAATGCTACCAAGTTTGATTTAATTCAATTATGAATAAATTAGAAAAGAAGATAGAGATTTGGACATATTTATGAAGCATAAATCATTATATATACTACACAAACATCTTGATTTTAATCATACTACTAGAATATTAATATTTTCAAAGTTTCTAATAAAAAAAACAAAAGCTTTTAAGCCACTGCTGCATTTTTAAAAAAAGAATTTTTTATTTTTGATAATCACTAATGATCTAAGGGCTGAATAAATCACATTCACCCCAAAATTAAACTTCTGTCAGAACCCATAATAAAGCAAACTGCATTTCAGAAATGTCTAAGAAATCAAATTAAACCTTTTTCAACATCTGAACAAACAATCTAGATCCAAACTACAATGAATTAATTCTATGATATCATTTAGAAATTGAATGGTGGATAAGCTTAATTTACTAAGGAAATTGATCTATAATTTGAATATATGTGTGTGTGAGAAATATCACTCACACATCATCACAAAATCTCTAGAACCATAAAGCCTACAAACTTGAAATTTGGCACATATGTTCCTCTTGGCATCTAGGTACTCACTAAGAAAGCATTTTTTTGAAATGACCATCAGAGTATTAGTATTTCATATATTATTATTAACACGCTCTGATGCTAAGGAATTCTACTCCCCCTCCCCCCTGAAAAGAAATCTGTTCCAAATGTAAAACACAAGCAGAGGAGTTTCAGTTTTAGTTTCAGAGCAGCAAGCAGCTTTAGTACAGAACAGTTGAGGTAAGCCATGCCCTGGCTCCTTGCTGTCTCCTTCTTGCTCACACAGCAAATACTGTTTCACTTTCCCAACAGCCCTCAACTCTCTCTCACACTGACAGGATGCTCGCCAGATGAATACCGATAAATGCTGGTAGGCAGGGGCAGAATTTTTTTCACCTTATTTTCCTTCCCAAAAACTAAGCTCGACCACATAGTTTCATAGCAAAGCACGGGTATCGAGGTAGTATATTATATACTTACCTGCTTAGCAAAATTAGTGTAAGAAGGCATTATGACACATCTCCCATAAAATAGGACATTTTTAAATGCATATATTTTATATCAGTCAACCAGAAATCTATCAAGACCTACAGTTTCATAGTATCATATATTAAATTATATTTATTTTTTTCTTGAAAAGAAAAAGGTAACATGAAGTTATAACCTCATTCCAATCTTGCAATCAATGAAAAAGTTGATAAAGAATTGGGACTATAGAACCCTTTTGGTTACTAGATTTTAAAAGTATTTATTTATGCTAAGAAAACTAATAGTGCTTTCTTAATTAAAATCTAAACATGAATTATTTATTGGATTTCTTACCTTTCCTTCAAAATAAGATTACACATGATGCTTATGAAGTTATTGAGCAAAAAAAAGAGAGATCTGTATCGCACAGAAAATGATTACCTAGCACAGAGATGTAACAATTTAACTTAACTACCGGTTGCTTCTTTCTGTATGCAGCATAAAGAATATGACCTCAGTAAATGCTTCTGCTGTATCTCATAGGAAATTGTGTAATTGAATCATGGATGAAATAAGATAAATGTTTAAAAGAGCTCCTCCACACCCTTTCATTCCATGTTGCATAAAGGCATGTTCCAAAAAATAGCTATGAATATCAGAAACACAATAAAAATGTATATATGGTATTCAGCTTTGTTCGGGTATTTTCCCACGTCATTGTAGTTGTGCTTTTAAAGTTGTAGCAACGTTTCGGCAGAATCTCATCTGCCATCATCAGGCTTCTGTATTGTGTTCGAGCTCACAAAAATCAAAAAAGAAAATTACAATAAAATCAATAAAGGATAAAAAATAGTTAAAAGAAAACAGGCATGATAAAGTGTCTCACGCTTCCCTGCCAAGGACTTGGGTGGAAAGACAGGTCTTCACTAATAAGCATACAAAAGAAAAATAAAATAAATACTTCATCAGAAATGAACAAAAGGGGAAAGAAAAAGGAAAAAATTATGGTCATGCTGAAGACTGCCATTTGTTATTTTTTCTATTATGTAAATAAAATTACCGTTAATAAATTGAATCACGTCCAGTATTATGCAAATACAATTACAGTTAAGAAATTAAATCACAACTGATTAGTAAGGGGGGAAAAAACAAGGAAGTCCATGCCATGAAGTAAAGTTGAAAACTTAAATAGTCTGAAAAAGGCATTTCTGTATTGTTGCCAACACACGTGTGTCAGTGCAGTCATCAGCAGGTAATCCAAACTCAATGGATACTTTTCTTATTGATTTATCACCAAAATTAAGGATCAAAGTATTGTCTTTTATCCAAACAGATTAAATGGAAAACAAAATAGTGTACCTCCATTTTAAATAGCCTGGAGAGTGATACTGTTTGCTCTGAGCAGGAAGTCTCCTAGCCAATGATTAAAACATTTACTTCCATCAACGTTAAGCTCTATTTAGCTGAAATGTGTATTTCAGGGAAAGAGAATTTTAAAATTGCAGCTATAATCATAGCATTCAAGACATTTAATAAGCTATCTGCTAAAAATGCTGAATGTAGGCAGCCAGTTTCAATTTGCCATTTCAGCCACTTCATGTTAGAAGCATTGTATCTGACAGGTTGATGCAATTTAATTTTACAAACTAGGACCCAATAAAATTAATAATGAAAGGTGAAGCAATATGTGGCTACAAAAGGGAACCTTGTTAACAATTATAGCTCACATATTTGTACAAATACTGTCTCCACCACATAAAACATATATGACTAAATTTGCTCAGGTGCATTTTAATCAATCTTAAGTATATGATTATAACCACTCATTTTTTTCACCCAATTGGAAGTCTGATCTCTGCTTAGACACAATACTCTACAGAGCCTAGAAATATCTTTCCAAATAAAAAATGTTTCCCTCTATTTTTAATAGTTTCCCATATCCAATTTTGGCACTGAATATTCAAGAAATCAAATACGATATATCCAGATTTCTAATGTTCATAAATATACTGCTCTGCACTCCTGTTTTATTCTAAACATTTCAAAATCCTTCCAAATGCAGAGGAAGTTCTCATATCTTTTTGGCAACCAATGTGTTTTAGGAATTGTTGGCATACAGTACTTGAGAAGAGCTAGTTA